ACGCCATCGGTGTATGCAAATGAACGTTGAAATCTATCGATTGATATGGAATTACATCGAAGCATTGAGCATTCGCGTTGCATTATGTCACTTTGGATATTGTCTTGTGCGCGTGGCTTGTGAATGTTCATTTTTTGCATGCATTTCTCTTCTTGAAACGACATGGTCGTGTGGAAAAGTAAAATAAGAGCCGGCGATATCATTTCCTTTTGTGATAAAAATGGGTTTAAGAATAGGTAATCAGCTGATGCCTGAGAACTGACACATTTTGGTTCTTAATTTAGACTGGAAATAAGTAAAAGAAAGAGTTTTTTTAGTATAAAGAAACAAAAAAACAGTGATAAAGAAACGAGTGAATTGTTCGAACGATAAACAAAAGTTGACAAAGCCAGAACGATAAGTAAAAGTCTGTTCGAAGCAAAAATTGTGATAAAAATACGAGTTGATATTGTGAAGGCGAGAATTTACATTGACTGAATTCACAGTCTTAGCATATTTATCTGAGTTCAAGCTATTTTTCAAATGCCGACTCACATAGAAAAAAAAATACTTTCGCATAAATCTATTTCTATTTCTATTTGCTCAACGGATAACTTCATTCATCTAAATCTCAGTCTACGTTTTGTTGTATGCTTCTGTCGTCTGTTTGTATTGTTAATTCGTTAAAAAGATTATTTACGAGAGAGAAAAAAACGTCTTGATAATATCCAACTACATTGTGTTGCATGTGTTTGTTATTTCAACGGCATGATTTTTGTCAATTTTTTCTTTCTTCAGTCTGTAAACGAGCCTAATGAAAAGCACAAAAAGTCTGGTGTTCCTTTTGTCGACAGGATAAAAGCGAGGAAAAATGCAATATTCCTTGAACGTTGGCGAGTATTGAATTATGTTGTGTAGAAATAAAAAAAAAATTGCCTTTGAGCAATGTCGATACATTCAACGAAAGATTTATGGGAGTATCATGTTGTGTTATTGTCAGAATCTCCGTTTATCTTCCACTTTGTTTGCGCTTCGAGTCACAAGAAATGAAATTACATTGTCAAATATTAAGACATTTTGGCATAAATTGTTCATTTGGGAACCATGGAGATAAAGTGGCCGATGAAATCTCAAAGGATTTTCTTAATGAGTCACATTTATGCAAATTTACTCGTTAATTATCTAACACAAAATTACAGTAGCACTTTCAATGGTGCTTGAATCTCTTGAATATTCTACCTCTTAAGTCAACATCCTCTTCTTTTCCACAAATTTCAGCTGAAAAAAAACGGAAAAAATGCATATTCAGACATTGCGCATTTTGCCCGATCGATAAACATCACAACATATATTTTTCGGTACTCGAAGTTTTGCAAATGCATGTAATTCATTTACAACGTATTATTTCCAACAAATGAAGCATATCACGTTATGTATCATTGAATCAAATGCATGCGCTGCAATTGGACGCATGAGCCTATTGTTTCGATCATGTTTCCCCTTTTCTATAGAATCAAGCAAACGATACGACTTATGTACTATAGCGTCAAGTCCCGCCCAGCAGCACACAATCGAAATACTTCCTTTTCGTTGCTGTACGCGCCGACGATGATGATACATAGCATATATGAAACGAGAGCAACGGCGGAACATATGATGTTCAGACAATATTTTTGTCGCTTTCTCTCGAGCACATCCGAATTGATACTGCTCTCTCTCTCTCTCTCTCTCTCTCTCTCTCTCTCTCTCTCTCGTCGTCAGTTATTTTCGTTACAAATTCATTTATCGATGGGCATAATAAAATGACGGCGCTTGACAAACGAATATGTTACATATAGAGGCTAGGCAATAGAGCAAAAACGGTAGTCGCTTCTAGTTTTCATGGATTATTGTTATTATTGAAACGTTGTTTGACATGTAATATTTACCCGTTGTTTATGAGTATTATGGCGCATTCGAATAGAGTACACAAAAGCGGGCCCTTGAAAGTGATATGATTTACAGTCGCGATAGCCTATGTGTATGTTTTATGGCGGCTGATGGAAAGACAAAGCCAAATTGCATGAATTTCATTCGAAAATACGTACAAATGGACGATAGACACCCTTCTTTACTTGGCAAAAAAAAATGTTTATGTAATACTCATGTTGTTTTGCTGCATTATTTCCAACAGATGAGACTTGCATCACCATGGCAACTTCAAATGAAACAGAATTCAATTTCGTTGGAAGACAGGCAACTGAAGACCCGGTTTTTGTTGCCACTGAACTTTTCAATAGAATAATTTTAATGAGCTGATACAGTTCGTGCGTTTATATCAAAGGGGAGAAACGAACTATGTAAATTAAAAACCAAAATAAAATGGATGCAAAAACCGAACTAGTCACCGTGTTTCTGTTTTAGGATATTACTAAATTCATACGACATCAATTTGGTAGCGATAGATAGTCATATGAAATTCACTATGTTTATCGATATTTCCACCATTGTTTTAATCCAATATTTTCGCTACGATATCATACCAGGAATTATAAAGAAGTTGAAATGAATTTTACAGATATTCCCTCATAAAAATCTCCATTTTTCGTGTCAATTCGTTATATCTTTTAGCAATAAAGAGCTCATCTTCTGAAACAAGTATAAGTAGTTGATTTCAATAAACCATTGAAAGATATCGTCGAAATATGATTAAATTTAGCTTCTTAGAATGGGAATGGCCATCTTTTACATTTTTCAATCGAATGTGTTTTGATCTAGTTTTTGTTTATACAAAATGCAACATTGAAGATGTCTCTTTTTGCATAGTTTGAAACGTTGCTTTTGTATGACAAAAAACTCTGATTTGATTTACTCGTTTTCACAAATGATATTTTCAATACACAATGTCAATTGTTTTGAACAACTTGATTGGAAATTTGAAACGTTTCCATCACTTGTTCTATCATTATTACTAAGCTTTTAATACAAATTATCGCTCACACTTTGAATATCAAGTATTTTCTTCAACTATCAAATCTATTTTAATTTGAATACAAAAATAGTCGGGCAACTTTTGCAAGAAATTGTTTTTATTTTATTGATTCAACATTCAAATTCTGGCTGAACAACAGGAAAACCAAATACTGCAAGAAACGAATTTCTTGCCTCCGTAAAAAACCTGATTATCCAACAAAATTATGTCCAAATCATTATGGGCAGATTATTCGTCAATTAAGGTAAATTTTGTGGTGTATTTCTGTATTGGTTGCATTGATATGTTGATGCGTGTAATCATTTTTTTTACCAGGAAGGTCTCCATATGCCAAATCGTTGAATTAACCTGCCAGCCTACTTGTTCTATACAAGTGATTTTTTTCTTACAAATGAATGAAAATATTCAGTTCAACACAAATTCATTTATGAAATGAAATGCGAAATCGATAGGCATTTCAAATTTTGTTCACAAAATGTGCGAACAAAGAAATGATTCATTTCTTCCTGTCATGCTTGCATCTTATATACACGCTATTCGAAACCATTCTCATCAAAATTCTCAGGCGGAATTCACAATTAATTTGAAAACAGAATAAATACGAATCGGAGCAAACCAATTATAAAGTGATTTTTCATAACATCCATAGCTTCAATGTTTGTGCTTGATGTTACGATGTCAAGATGACGAATATCTAGCCGTTCTGTGAACAATAAAGATGAAATTCGACGAAATTATGAAAACAACACTGTTGACTGATTTTCAGCATCTCGGTGTTAGCAACGTTATTTTCAATGGCTGAAACCAAACCATTGGACAATTTTTGTACGTCAAACGAAACATTGAAAAATGCAGAAAAAATGATCGTTCAATGTTATTCAAATGTTAGATTCACTTACCTCTTCTAAATATGTGCCATCATATTCTGATATGAAATAAATATATATTTATTTACCACATTTAGTTTAATCCGAAGGACTGAAAAGAACTCTGTTTCAATTGACTCATTTCCACTTTATTAAAATGTTTTGAATACACAATGTCTCTTGTTTTGAACAATTTAATTGGAATCGGGCTGTCATGATTACCTCTATCATTACGATTTAGTTGTGTCATGTTTAAATTTCACTTACGAACACTTTTGACCTATATTTTATTATTGCAAGCAAAATTGTGATGTTTGAAAAGCTATGTACTGCATTAACTTCTCTTCTTGCGCATATTTTTTACATTACCGTGAATCGAATCACTGATATTTATCATTTTAAACCTGAATGGGCGAAATATTTTATTTGTTTACGAATTTGTGGAATATTTAGGTTTGAATATCGGCCAATTGATTTTGTAGGAGAATATTTATGAAAAAATATTAGTTGCAAGCAAAAATTAAAAGCTGCTCAATTTATTCAATTTCGTTTGGGAAGCAATTTTTACGAATTTTTTCAACACAAAACTGTTGAATCACGGCATAAGTTCTAGAAAACTGACCTCTCTTACCATTTCCATTCATATTTTGTAAAAAGCCATAAAAATTGGACTGAATTCTTGCAAACAATTTGGTGCAAACAGCATGTCATATTGTATGAAGGCACACTTTGTTCATTGTATATTTTTCGATTTCATAGAAAAAAGAAATTGTTTTGTTGTCTCATGCGAAAATATATATATGTGTGAGTATATATCAATTCAACGCTATCGTTCAATCTATTCTACAGCTAATTATCCGTACGTGTTATACACATACTATGTGATAAGTACGAAAAATTCGTCAAAAATGTGATATGATTCCTACATTAAAACACTTCGATGGATCGTATTCAAGGATGTACCTTGGATTTGACTGTTCTAAACAGTCTGTTCAGTATATTCAGTCTGAAAAAACTGAAACTGTCTTTTGCTTGGTTAAAATGTCTTTTTGATGCTTTAAATAAGTCCTAAAAATCATTTAAAAATGGGGTTCACGTGCATGTGATCTACACAACCATTGCCAATTTTGGAAAATATGTAAAAATGAACTGTTGTTTGTTTGTCAATTTTGAATTCATTCGAATTTGAATAAATCCCCAATTGCCGGGAATAAAATGTCTTTTTGCAGCTTTATTACTAGTCGTGTCAGCGCAATACAAAAAGGGGAGAGACAAAGTGGAGAGAACATTCTTAAAAATTAGTTATCACCAGTCATAAAATTATTATATAAAAAATATCGAACAAAACTACGGATAAAATTATGTATCATGTTTTTTTTTATACTTCGGCTTAAGCTAAAACTCGATTAATGGATTAAAATGTCTAATGTTTCAGTTCTTATCAGTTACCATGTTATCATTTTTATATTTTTTTTTCTCATGTTTTTCGAATAGCTCTTAAATTGTGTTACAGTGTAAATTAATTTACTGATTTTTCTTCTGTTAATTTCTAGAATTAGGCTTTGAAAAATTAGTTGCTATTGTAAATAATAAAAAAAAATCGATTAAATTAGAGTTGCCTAGAGAAACTGTATGTCACTAAGCGCAAGGTACGGTGCTATATATGATGATGCTGTGTGTATTGCTCGAATTGAGCTGTTATTTCACAGATGAACATTCTTATTGGATATTTTGTCATTTTGCTATTGATTTTTTTTTTCATTATCAAATGTGAAAAATATATGTTGAAATCGTTTAATTTTTATCATGATGCACAAATTATTTTAAAAAAAATTGAGTTGAGCGTGAGTTGTTTTAGGTTTGTCTTACATGGCTAACGATTAAATATTGAGTTGATCAAATTCGATCGGAACATTGGTTAATAGGTATTAATTTACTTGATTTTGGAGACTCGTTAAATATATTATCCCGTGGTTGTTGTTTCTAAACCTCATTCAAATGACTAAATAATAAATACTTTTTTTACGCAAACAAAAAATGGGTTAAACAAAAAAGAAAACAAACAAACAGAAAAAAAAATTGAATCAAAAAAAGATACTGTCGGCTACAGTATGTCAATTAAATCACTGCTCTAAATCTCAACAATTAGATTTTGCAACTGTGTTAGATTGGAGCCCATGTGCCGATTATCGGGCAATGTTTTTATTTTGCATAACCAGTGCGCTGCTTCCATGCATTTCTTTTGGCGTTCTTCGCGCGGTATGTCCACACCGCCGCCGAACGACCGTGCCCAAGGACCGGTATTTGATTGGATTATTGGCAAGAAATTCGATAAGATTATTCGTAACGTGTCACATGCTCGTGTATAGTGGCTGCAAATTAAATGAATGAATTGCTGTTAATTTCAAGTGAAACATTACTACGCCGAAAAGAAAGAAAGAACGACTAATACAACAATTACTGTAAATAATAAATGGACTGATAACAAGATTTCAATGGAGGCTACAATTTCAATGAAATAATGAATGAATTTGTGGAATTCAAGAGTCAATGAAACTAGCGATAAAAATAGTTCAAGTAAATACATTCGTCGGAATGGAAAAGAGAAGTTCTAGACTACAAATCAACAGATGGTTGCAATAGAATGAGGAAAAACGACTCACAATTTATGCTCGCTTTGCAGCAATTCATATATTTCGGGCAATATGGTTGCACACATATCCAAGTTCCAAGACGCTCTAGAAGGGATAGAACGAAAAAATCAATGGTAAAATAAAATTGTCATATCAAGTTGAGTCATTGAGACAAAGAACGAGAACAACGAACACAATGAAAAAAATCAACGACTTACGGTTTTTCAATTATTGCACCAAGCAAATCGACCATGACTGAATGATCCTGCATTTTAGCCACATGCCTAATAGCACCACCGATGTCTTGAGATCTGTGAATGAACATGGCATTTAAACATTAGACCTTTTTCATTCTGAAATCATTCAACCTTTTTGTTTTCTCATATGGTTCTCTTCAATCGTACTAGCCAAAATGGTTAATTGATGAAATAAATGTCTAATTATTGTTTCATTGATGTTCCGATCAATCGATCGCTCTCATTTACCTCATTGAATTTCGAACTAGTTGAAGTGTTGCATAGCGAGTGCTAAGCTGTTGATAGACCCGTTCATGATATGCGGTTAAAACACTGATTTCAGCATTCTCCTCCGCTGAACCATGGCCATTGTAACTCGAACTGCCGAAGGCTTTTGGTTGTGCTGTGACTGCTGGTGGCATTGAGGGAAGCGTGGCATGCAAGTGACTCGAAGACGCCATCGGAAGCGATGTTTGTGACATAGATGAGCTGGATTTAAGATCAAGTGAGGTTTTTGATCGAGCTGGTGGTGGTGGTTTGGCTAGAATTTGTACCGTAATCTTTCGATTGTTCCGAGCATGATTGATTTCTTTCGGTTCCGGTCGTTTCACCTTGTGATTATTGTTATTATTGTTATTAAATGCGGAATAGTTTCGAGTTGGTGAACCATTTCGTGACGAGATACTTTTCTTGCTGCCACCAAATGTCGATCCATTATCATCGAGTGAATGCAAGTCAATGTTACTCGTTGAAAACTTCTTCGATGCGGCTAACGATGCTCTCGCAGATTGTTGAGACAACGTTCGACGTTGTGACGGAGCTAATTTTGACTTGTTCATTACTTTTGGCGGATTATACGCACTTGAGCCATGCATTGTGTCCTTTTTTGGTGCATAATCTGGCTGTTGTGCACTATTCACAGGGAAATCTTCACGCTCTGGTTCCACACTTCGTTCGGGATAATAATCAAGGTCATTCGACGAATTATCAAAGTATGAACCATTATCGGGTGGCATCGGTGTTTGATAATCGTCCATAAAACCATTGTAATTATCACCCGGAAGACTGAACAACGAACTTTCACGTGTCCGTGCTAGATTTTCAAACGCATACTCATTTTTCGTTGCTGTTGGTTGAGGTAGCGGAATCTCATCGATACTCTCTTCGATCATCTCAAAACTGAGACTGGATGGCGACGACATTTCTTTGCCACTTGTTAGCGATCCACTTCGAAAATCATTGTTATTATTGCCATTTGACTTTAGGACCAATTTCGTTTTTGGCGTTCCACGATTGAAACTCTTTCGCGTACTTTGATTATGCTTAAACGGAATATTTGTCGGATTGTAATATGGAATCACATGATCCAAATTGATTGCATGCACCAGAACTGACTGTTTTTCATATGAACCACATATCTGGAATGGAGGAACGGTAAAATTAGACGTAGGGAAAATGGAATGAACTGAAATGATGGGCTCAAGGTCATATTCTAAGTGAGTTACATACCAATTTTTGCTTCACAACTTTCATATCGCCTAACATACTCCAAGCTGATTCAATATGATCAAACTCTCTGTCCGGTTCCCATCCGTTGACGGAAACACCTTCGGCACTACCCACAAAACAACATTCACCATTTTCACTGTAATTAAACGTAAGCATTAGTTTTATCATTAATGAATTCTTTGATAAATGAGCCTATATCGACTCTAAATAGCACCAAAACAAAGCAGAGAGTGCATAATTGCTGCTGAGTAGGTCTAAGCTGAGCTGAATTTGCTAACTCAGGCGCCTGAAGCGTTTCTTTAACGCGTTTGCTGTGCGCTAGCAGAGATCCACCTTGGGATGATTGATAAACAATGTGAACCTCGCACAGCGAACGCGTTGAAGTAACGCTTCAGGCGCCTGAGTTAGCAAATTCAGCTCAGCTTAGACCTA